AAGGCCAGCCTGGGCAACATGGCAAAACACTGTCTCTACAAAAAATACAAAAAAATTAGCTGGCTGTGGTGGCATGCGTTTGTAGTCCCAGCTACATGGGAGGCTGAGCTGGGTGGATTGCTTGAGCCTGGGAGGTGGAGGTTGCAGTGAGCCAGAGATCAGGCCATGGCAGTCCAGTATGGGAGACAGAGCGAGACCGTGTCTCAAAAAAAAAAAAAGAAAAGAAAAGAAAAAGAAAGTCATTGTGAAGATTAAATGAATTAATGTATGTAAAGCACCAAGAACATGGCCTGGACTATTGAAAGTGATCAGTAAGTGCCAGTGATTATTATTTTTTTGACATAATCAGCAATAACATGTCATAATTTTGAATCGTATGTTATGAAAATACAAGTCTAAATCTGAACTTGTCTTATTCATAGGGGTACTATGTGATTTTGTAGGTTCTGTGAGTAGAGGAACTTGCCAAAATATCCTTTTCCAAAACATCTTACAAATACACTCATCCATTACAATACCTGATAATCTGCCAGCAGAAATATGTTAAGGCTTTGGGGGTTTTAGTTTCTTTATAAAATACTAATGCTTTAGGAATAGAGTTCTCTCTTCCATTTTTTAACCATAAGCCCCTTGTCATGGATTAGCTGACCACACCAGGAAGGGGAGATAAGGATTGAGCAAACATTGGACAGGTGAGAAGGAAGGTTCTAATCATCTGTTTGGGGAGCAGAGGGAGGCCTCATGTGGAGTCTTCAGGGCCCTTTGGAAATTAGGGATAATTTTAGTTTTAAGAAGGGAAAAAGAGAAGCTAGCTGAACAGGAGAGGAGCATGGAGGAGACACAATTGTTTACTTTACAGTATTGTTTAGGGTCAATCATGTTAATAAAAAGAGTTGCTGAAATGGCTGAGAGTTGCAGTCAAGTCTGGATGATTTTTTTTTTTCTTTGAGACAGAGTCTTGCTCTGTCGCCCAGGCTAAAGTACAGTGGCATGATCTAGGCTTACTGCAACCTCTGTCTCCCAGCTTCAAGCGATTCTTGTGCCTCAGCCTCCCGAGTAGCTGGGATTACAGGCGGGCGCCACCACACCCAGCTAATTTTTGTATTTTTAGTAGAGACAGGGTTTCACCATTTTGGCCAGGCTGGTCTTGAACGCCTGACCTCAAGTGATCTGCCTGCCTCAGCCTCCCAAAGTGTTGGGATTACAGGAGTGAGCCACCACACTCGGCCAAGTGTGGATGATTTGGCTCACCTGTCTAAAAAATTTTAAGGTTATAAGCCCTGGAGCATTTTATATAAAAATAATTATTGACGTGAATACAGAAGAGAACATCCACATATATTTCCATTTTTTGTTTGAAGTTAAAGCCGACAACAGTCAGAATGCATGACTCTCTTGGGCTGCTGATTTCAAGCTTGCAACTGTTTCCTAGTAATGTGGGGGGCCTGTGCCAAGTCATTGAAGGTTATTGCTGGTAGGGTTTCTCCCTAGACAGGAAATAGTTCATTGGAGCTTTAGTGCTGCAGAAACCAACACAGGTAGGTAAAAATGTTTTTATAATTGCCACTAGGAAAAAGAGAGGGCCCAGGAGGTACTCTTCTGCCCAAGGGAACCCGTCCCTGGTTATAACCTAATTTGTTGTGTGTATGTGGACCAGATGGGTGGAATTAAACCTTCTAAGGTATTGTGGTTAGATTGCCAAGGTATTGTGGTTAGATGTGAAAATGACCAGCGATTCCAAGAAATGTAAGAAATTCTCTTTGTCTTTCAAAGGACCATTCTCTTGTGGTTCAAATGTGGGCTTTTGAAACAGAAACAATAACATCTGTGGCTATAAGGTGGGGTCTGTTTATTTCCCTTTTTTCTCTATTGGGGTGTACATGAAGGTGTTGAAATTGTTGGCTTCATGTTTGTGTTTTGATAAAGATGGCTCTAAGGTAGCAGGATAGGGGACTAGAAGCTAACTAGTCATCAAAGAAGATCCTTGTTTTCCACAGAACAGTCTATCCTGGAGAACTGGCTGTTCCAACCTTCCTGTTACACTCATTCAGAGCATTCATACATCTCTCTGTCGATGGTGCAACAAAATAGACTATGGAAAAATCTCAGGAGGCTTCCTAAGTAGTTGAAAGGAGGCAGGGCAAAAAAGTTGTAGTATAGGCAAGAGGAAGGTACAACTAACTAAAATGAACTTCAAAATGCGAGAAATAAATGCAAGCATCATCTGAAATTGTTCTCTTAAGTCAGCTCTAACAGTTTCTTATCAATAGATAAGGATAGGAGCTGAATTATCTTGAAACTGTGATACAGTGGTCAGAAAGTTAAGAAGATAACCCCTCTCCGACACCCTTGGCACAAAACCAGGGCATATCTATACCTGGAACATAATGTGTTGTACTGTTTGTTGAGCTTCAGGAAAAGTCTAACGAGGTTAGAAGCAGTTAATAGGAGGACATCTGAAAAGATCAAGGAGATTAGGTGTTCCCTATTCCTTTCATGAGGAGATACTGAAATGGCAGAATTCTGCAGCGAACATCCAATGAGAGATGGTGATTAGCAAGCCGAGAGGACAGGCCTCAGAAGAAACCAGACCTCCCCACACTTTGATCTCTGACCTGGGCCTTCAGAACTTTGAGAAAATAAGCTTCTGTTGTTTAAACTACCCAGTTTGCAGTATTTTGTTATGGCAGCTCTAGTTGAGTAACACATATGAGAATACATATGATCAAATGACTTAAAATTATTAAGGGTCTAGAAAAGAATGGGATCATCTCAGAATACCTCTAGGTCAGGCCTTCTTAAAGCAAGGTCTGCATACTACTTGCATCAGAATCACCTATGATACTTTTCAAAAAGCAGGTTCTCAGGTCCAGTGGACCTGGATTATTAAAATGTTCTGGTCTGATGCCTAAGAATCTGTCTCTTTGGTAGACACTTCAAGTGTTGTTTTTGTACACTAAAGAGCCAGAGGTCCTGCCCAACCTCTGGCTCTTTTCTGAGCCTGAAAATGAGTTCTGGGCCTGGTACTAATTGCATTTCATCAAGTGCTGCTGTGTCTGGTCCTCTGGCAGATGGTCCCTGATCCAGGAATCACGTGTAAATCCCATTGTAGGTTATCTCTCTCCAGGTGTCAGCCAACGTTTATGCAGCATGTTGGAAAACTGAATGGGATGGACCAGATGGAATCCTTAGAGTTTATTCTTGATTCTGGAAATAAATATGTGCCTCACCTATCTTAAGAATATAATGACATATTTTGAACAATAAAGTATATATATTATCTCTCTCATGAGATTTATTTAAAGATCTTACTACCTTGTCAATAGAGAATGTAAGGAATAGAATGGGGCGTATCTTTCCGGAACTGAAATTAGAGAAAGTTGAGAGTCCACAGCAAACCCTGTGATGAACATTTTCAAAGCAGGCAGAATACGTGGCATTCTGATTCAAATATGGCAGTTCCCTAAGGAGTGTAAAATCTGCCTGCCCCTATCCCCTCCATTTACAAATGTGCTTAAGGGACACAAGGTTTTATAAACAGGGTTTTTAAAAACTGAAATCTAGGCAGATCATTTAAGAATGTTCAAGGGTAGGTCAATGGACTATTTCTCTATTTTCTTTCAGGTGGTCCAGCCTTTGAACCAGGATGCAGCTGTAGTATCCCAAGTGACGGGGTCTGCCTAGGAGTTCCCATGGCCACCGTTTTTTGTGGTTTAGGTTTTTCTTTTTATTGGTGGGGCGGGGGGCGGATGAGTACTTACTTAAACCTAGGCACTTGGCTGTTTTTTCCTTCTTGACTAGCCAGATTTCAGTTTCTCTGTGTAGGCCATTCATTCCCACTGAATTTCTTGGTGGGGTGGTGGGGGCGGGGGCGATGAATGGGAAAGTGGAATTGCCATTAATGTTCCAGCTGCTTTCCTGAAACAAGACTTTTGACCCTAAAAAGAATGAATTTGAAACTCTAGACAATAATACTCCGCAGAGGTTAAGAAGAAAAGCCATGAGTGCAACTGGGTTTCATTAAGAATGATCAAGAGGACATTTAGTCTTCAAGGAGACAGGTTCCTAGTTTGGGCAGAGAAGAGAGCCCTAACAATGAAAGGCGGCCGTGTTGGCTGAAAGGGGGCTCTCAACTGAAACCAAGGCACTCCCGGGGTGTGAGGATGGGTGTTCATTCCTAGACATTTCCGAGCGGCCCTTTCCCTCAGTATGTTCTGGACTCATTGAGGTCCTGG